CTATGCTGCTTTGCCATATGCACGAGTGTAGTAGAGTAATGCTGCTCGCAGCAAAAGCTTCGGGGGCAGAGTAAAAATTCAGTCGACCATAGCGACAGACGGCAGCTTCGCGAGCTTTCACGGCGAAGGGAAGGGGTACTCGTTTTCAGGCATGGAAATGCCGATAACAGCATACATATCGTACATAGCATTATATACATAGACCTACCTTTTGCCCACTTACACTTTTAGAACTTTATTTTTAACTTACTCTCTTCTTTTATTTTAAACTCTTTTTTACGTAGGCTTCTTTTTTTTCAGCTGTTTATTTACAGTAAAGATACCTGTGAGTTGATGTCTCAGAGAGAACCAGTACGCGTAATCGCTATAAAATTTTGAATATAACTGAATTTGTACTTTTAATTAATAAATATTTGTACTTCGGCATTCGTAGACTAAGCGAAAAAAATTTTGCCGGTGGGAACGATCTATAAAGCTCAATAGCATATCCATAATCGCAGTGAACTTACAATTGGGGTAAAGTTTATTTCTCGTATCTAACTAGTCCTATTCTGATTTCTAGAAGAGCCTTACTTTCTCACGAATAAACGGTTTACTTGAACATTTAAAGTGTAAAAACTTGGGTTTTCTAATATGCTACACCTTAGATCAAAATCTCACGTGAATTTTACACTAAATATAATCGTTATTTTTTTGTCAATCTTCAAAGGATCGAAAAAATTCTGTAAAAACAGCTTATTTTTGTAACCAAAAATACGATTAAAGTGTGGAAAAAATCTCTGAACAACTTAACAAATAATATCGGAAATGAGAATGATGGAAATTTCCTATTTTCGGTTCTTCAAAGAATGAAAATTTTCTGCATTTATTAAACAATTGAAAGTAATAAAAAGTTTAAAGTCAATAACACGCTTTCATAGATGTGACAGTGCAAAGCTTTTTAGTCTGCTCTCTCTTGTCAATAAGCTGGATTAAAAATGAGAAAAAAAATGAAAACGTACCAGAGATTTTGGAAAAAAATTATTTGTGGTTTTCAAAGCAGCTATACGGCCGGTGTAAATCAACGCAAAAAAGTTGAACAGAACAAAGCAAAAAAAAACTAAACAAATATGTTTCGTGCACGTGCATAAATGCACGTGCAAATGAAAAAGTGAAAAACCAATTTCCAGGCACTTTCCGCATTCTAAACATTGAGAGCGCGCGCGCGAGCGAGATGTACATGCGCGAGAGCGCATAAAGTCCGTCTGTTGGGGTGTTATTTCCTTTTCGCACACTGCAACCACACCGATTCTTACTCCTCTTTTTATTTTGCATGTTTTTTTTTTTTTTTAATTCAACTGATAAATCCGAAGTATTGAAGCATGTATTTGCATTTATGTTTTCGCGTGCAGCTGTTATAGAATACGAGAGCGAGCGATCGCGCGACGCGGAGAGCATACTAAAACGAGAACATCTACATGCTCCGTACGTGTAATATTTATACATGCGTCGTTCGCGTACCGCACAACTCGCTAATTGCGACTAAGCCTGTTTTTTTCTATATTTTCAGTCGAACGATCCAATCTCTCTCTTTCTCTCGTTCTACCGTTCGCTTAAACACGTATATACATAAAGAGCAAACAAGGCAATTAGTAAGACGAACAGCACCATCATCGCACACTTGCAGTCGGTTCACACGCACACATATACACGCATACACAGACGCTCTCATGTAAGCTGCGCGTTCAAGTGAATTCATCAGTCTCTCGTGGGGATAAGCGAAAGTAGGAGGTATAGAAGCAGTCTGTATGTGTGTGTGTGTGTGTGTGTATGTGTGTGTGTGTGTGTGTGAGAGAGAGAGAGAGAAGTCGACGCTACTAACGCATGCAAATACCGTGGTTGGAATAAATTTGCAAGTCGATAATCCCTTCATAGTCGTAGCCACTGGTGTAGATCGTGAAGCAGCAGCAGTAGCAGCAGCATCGGCCTATGCCTCTCTCCACGTGCACTAGAGCTTACCAAGTGTGTGGCATACAAGCATATATAGAGGCGTGTAAGAAGGAGTATATAGTGGTGCATATCGAGAGGTAGTCGGTGGTGGCAGTAGCTACAGCGCAGAGCCGAAGAAAAAAAGCTGAAAAAGGTGTATGCATACATATATATGGAAGCGATAGAATTCGATGATGGCGATGATAATAGAGTGTAGGCAAGCACCACGTGCTACGCGTACTACTAATTCATTATAAGCTTTGGCACTCGACCGAGTCTGCGCCGGCACCGGGCTACTGCGTGCACAGCTTGCAAGCTCGAGCTTGGATCGTATATGTATCCGACACGGTAGCGACACCCAAATGCTCATGGCTACGCGCATACGGTATATTGTAAAATATTATACGTACACGATGAATGATACGGCGCCCCATACGCGACTGGAAATTGTGCGCGACGAACGAACGTGCCGCGTAGGAAAATATATATCTACTGCCATGCATGTAGATATTATCTGAAATGCCTCGCTGCACGAGCGCTGCAGTGGGCTGCTGAGTGTAACGTCTGCTACCGCTGCACGAAGTATATAGGGCTGCGCGTTGTTACAACGGACTAAGAGTGTGCGAGCATATCTCCCTCACTCTCTCAAAGCGAGCTCCTCCCGCAGCCACTACAGCCTCTATATTCTTCTGTGTGCATATAGAGCGAGCCTCGCGTGAAATTCACGTTAAGAGGATTTCATGCTGTACACATAATGCGCCATGGCCCATGCTTGCTCGACCCCCTACACACACACACACACACACACACACACACACACACACACACACAAGAGTTTGAGCTTCAACATCTTCATAACAGACCTCGAGCGTTACAATATCGTTGCTTCATATACTCTCACGCAAGCATCTCCATATAGTAATACGTATTTTCATCAAAAAGTCGCAGCAGATCTTCGTAAAGGCAAACATACAAAAAACCTCACGCGATATTACCATAACCATGAGCTTCCACGTGAATCACTTTTTGTGTATTTTTCACAAAGACAAACCTAATTTGAAGTAAACATCTAATAAGGAAATACAGATTATCGATCAATATTGTAACAATTCTTATTTTACGATTAAAATACGATAAAATCTGCGATTTATCGCTGTATACGTGTAAATTCCTTTGCGTATCAAGTGAAAATTCAAGCTTGATTACATATTAATATATGAAGCACTTTATTAAATTATATAGGAAATACACACCGTTCAATCTTGTTTATAAATACATGATGAATACTATATATGTAAAATTAGTGAATCTCTCGATTCGAGCTCTGATGGCGGAAAGATCAGGGGGAGAGCGAGAGAGAGAGAGAGAGAAAGAAGGAAATGCCACGGAACGTTTGTCACGCAGTAATCATCGTCATCGTCATCGATGGCAAATAACATTTTACGCGTTGCGGTCTATCGATCTTTCCTCGTTCAGCAGCTCCGTACGCACACGTACTCACATATATACGAATACTATTCGTATGATCTAATTTTTCGAAAGGACGAGCATCGCCCGATATGCCAATCTAGTGTAATCATTCCTGGCATGGCTGGACTCCACTGCATATATCCAATTCTGCTACGGGTAGCGGCGGCGGCGGTGGCGGCGGCAGCGGCTAGGTTAGTCGGGTGCGTGCGGCCGGGCTATGAAAATTACGTCCGCGCGCGCGAGCGAGGCAAACCAGCGGCAGCGGCGAGTTGTTATAGATTAGAACTGTAATACCGGACGAACGAATATAGAGATTTATGACTTGCAGACCGACGACGAGCTCTACGCTGAACGTGTACGTGTACGCTGGTGTTTTGCATTGGCCGAGCTCCGAGCAGCCCCGAATAATATATAATGTAAAAGGGATGAAAGTTTAGTTCTTTGATTGCCAAAGTGGACCTAAAATAGTACCTGAAAAATGAATGATCTATCCTTTTTTTCTCGATTCTTTATCTATTTTTGAAAAATAAATTTTTAAAACAGAGTCACAAAGCTGTTAATGTTTTTGAAGCGATCCATGAAAGCTGTACGGATAAAAAAAGAGCAGCAGTACTGCCAAGCTTTGGTCGGACATCGGGTAAATATAATATAAATAAAATCCCGTTATTGCTGCTACTGCTGTGACGCATTCATGCACATAGGTGGGCTAGCGGTAGTCTAAGAGCCATCATATCCGTACAACGTCACATACGTATACGAGCGTGGATATGTAAAAAGAAAGGGATAGAGAGGAAGAGAAAAGTATGTAGTAAAGGCTTTTGAAGATTCAGACTAACATGGAGAGCTGGCATTGTGCCACGCAAACGAATATTGCCAATAAACTGCCAATCCAATTTAGCCAAGCGGAAAATATTGCCCTCGCGCCTTTTTTACTCACCGACTCGCTCTCTCTCTCTCTCTCTCTCTCTTTCTCTCACTTTCGTTCCCTATCATCGATTGCATGTATCATAATTCAAATGAATTCTACACAAGGCTCACAAATTACGAAGCCGTGCTGATTCTTTTTACGAAAGAAAAGGAAACAAAATTATCAAAAGTGTTTATTTATCGACGATAAATTGATCTGCACTTGCTTTTACTTCTACTCCAAACACGTGATTATATTTTTTCGTTATGTTTTTCGATATTTGAAGCGAGATTCGTATGTGCAACGCTAATTCGAAATCATACGACTATTCATGGCTGCACTGCCTCGTTGCTCACACACATACATACACACACATAATAAACGTACGTGGAAGCGATTTTCCTGGTCAGCAATTAGCAAATGTGTTGAAGCAATCAGGTCGCCACCACGAGGCCGTATCTCGTGCTCTCTTCTCCCTTGCCCTCTCGACACGGCGCACTAAACGGGCTGTCTGATGCGTTGCATAACAGAAATCCCGCGTATACATGTTAATATGTAACGAATTAATGTGATTCATTTGTACGTGATATTTATAAGAGCAAATATTTTATTTTCGTGCGATTAATCATTTGTTTTTATTTGCTTGTTTTTGCAGGTCTCGTGGATGCGCAAACGGGACATGCACATACTGAGCGTTGGCATACTCATGTATACCTCTGACCTGAGGTTCCAGGTCATACACCCGGAAAAATCCGACAACTGGACGCTACAAATCAAGTCACCACAGAAGCGAGATTCCGGAATTTACGAGTGTCAAGTAAGCACCGAGCCCAAGATGTATCTCAATTACAGCCTCAACGTCATCGGTGAGTGATGCACGATTTGATTACTCCAAATTAATTAAACCCTATGTACTGAGCGAACCGTACGAGGTACGTTTCTATGCATGCCGCTCGTTTGATGTATCGCAGTTATTCAATTTATACATTAGATTGGAGAGATTCAATATTCATGATTGCGGCTTGCAACTGCAACAGCGCTGCTGTCTATGTTTTTAATTTGAAATCAATCAAGTAGTGTTATTACTTGAGTGTAACTTTTCCAAAGAAAAAGCTACTTTAAAACTTGCTGCCTTCAAAATATACTCTGTATCAACTTTTTTTTTCGTTAAGCTACAATTCAATAAAATATCTCTCACAATTTTTACTTTAAGAATATAAATTCACTCAAAAGCCTTGCAAAACTAATTGTCTTGCTCCAGTTTTCATTCGAATTCGGGTGTCGAATTCAATATCGATAGATGCGTCACAAATTATTATTGCCTAGAGAATCCCGAGAACTCGATTGTATACAAACAAAGGAATACGGAGCGTAAGGAATTTTGCGGCTCAACGAACGCGAGCAAAGCCGCTGCTCCGCGCGACCTAATCAGTTTCTATTTGACCATAGGTGCATAGATAGATATATTAGCGTCCAGCAAACGTCCCTGAAGTTGGCTTTAGTGTGCGAATTTATCAAAACCGAGAGCGACCTATCGTCGATATTCGACATAATGCACACACAGATACGTAATCATTAGTAGCTTCGGACTCGTTTGATTAATTCTGATTATTATTGCAATTCCTAAAGGACTGTTTGCACTGGTTCGACGCTGGAACGACATTCTCTAGAAAGAGCTGCAGTTGTTATTACGACATTCGAGGCAAAATTACTCAAATTTTTCCTTCTTGCCAACATAAAATGCCTAACTCTTGCTTTCTATGTTTTGTCGTTTTCTTCTTGAGGCAAAGAAGTATAAATACAGCCAAAGACATTCCGTGCAGGGCCATAGATCACCGAATAGGATCAGTGTGACAGCAACAGAATGCAGCAACGCAACCGCACAAAAATATTGCTTTCTTCATATACAGCGCTTTCCTCGAGTGCACTTTCGCGACACCCGAAACTCCACGTGTGTACTTTGTTTCAGGAGCTTGCAGTCGTTACATCACCTAAAGAACATGAAGCAGATCACCACTATCGTCAGACTGCGCACGATTCAACGTAAAAACGCAATATTACACTCGCTAAAAATTCCATTTAAAATGATTAAAATGTATACACAAGAGCGAATGGCCCTGCGCGTAACTCTTTCCGAGCGGGGAGCAAGAAAATTCGGCTGCACAAAGTAAGTGTGCGCGCGTGCAGAAATATATTATTATATATATACCCATCGTTGACTTTAATGAAGCAGCTCGCCGTATAGCGGATTAACCGTACTTCTGGGCTTGCCACGCGCACCCGAGTTAACTAGAAATTGTCATCTCTTTGACGTACAAAAGCATCAGGGTTTCTCTCTCTCTCTTTCTCTCTCTCTCTCTCTCTTTCTCTCTCTCTCTCTCTCTCTTTCTCGCTCTCGCGGCGCTTCTGCTCGCTCTTCGGCTATGTGTATAATATAGTCATTCGTATAACTCGGGCATTACGCTATATGTAGGGCGCAGTAGCTCTGGAAAATTTTCAGAGGAGCTGCAAATGAAGATTGACAAAGGTAATACAGCAAAAGGCTTCTCTCTCTCTCCCTCTCTCGCGTCTAGTAGCGTGAAATCTTGCGTGTAACAGCTCTACACACGTATACTGTGCGAAATGCACGACCCTCACAGAGAAAGAGATAGACACATGGATAGAACGTTTCGAGGCTTTTAAATGCGCTTGAGAGGCGAGGCAAAAATGAGAAGTGCGCTCTTGTAACTATGCTGTAGATGTTATTACTAACCTGTCTTCTCAACAGAATAAGTTACATTCAATTCTCGACGACTATCCCAATTGTTGAGTAAAGACTTTGAAGGCATTTTTACGCGGCTTGATTACACTGGTTTTTACTCGACTAATGCTTGAACAAAAATATTTTTTTTTTTTCCGGTCACATTAAAATTAATTTTGAACGAGCTTTTTCATTGTAATACCGCGGGAATGCAAATGGTGCTTTAACGTGTAATCACATTGTGCGCTGTGTAATGAGGTAAGCAAGCGAGAAAAATCGCAGAGAAAAATACACAACCGTGTAATGCTAATTATGTATACTCCTTTTTTTCGCGGCAAAGGAAATTTATGTTGTTGGAAATAATTTTACACCCGTAACGCTCGCGACTGACAAATTCGCACGCAAACGACACTTGCGAAAGCACGCGTGCGAGCTCACGCTCTGCATAAAGAGAAAGCGAGAGTTAATAAAAATTGCATAATGAGTTAATAAAAATTCTTCAACTAGAGAGTATTATATATATTAAGGACGCGCCAGTCGTTCGGTTCAATGCTGTAAAACAAATTACACATTGTGTGGCTTATACATATAACGTATAAAGAGACTGCGCGCGAGCTAGGTGAGTAATAATGCCTGCACGTCGTTGCAACCCCGGATTACACGTTCTCCCTCGTAGCACGATGGCTATATTTTGCAGGCGCGCTCTCTGCCACGCGACTAAAGGTGTATACTTATATATACGTCGTACGCTCCGCGTGTGATGTGTATGTGTGTGCAGCAAGGGCGCGTACAAGCCAAGTTTTGGGTGCGAACGAGCTTTGAAGCAGCAGCAGCAGCGCAAGAGAGGAAAAAATTAGCGTTCAAACGAGAAAATTAACGGTTTGTAGCGGAGTGTGCAGCGCGCGCAGCTGTATAGTGATTAAAATTTAGTCGTGTCGTTGAGTAACGTTTGTCCGTAGTGCTGCAGTTTTCTGCCAGAAAGAGAGAGAGAAGAGAGAGAACGAATTTGCGCCGAGAGTACTGAAATATTCCAAACGGTTTATTCAGTGTCAGTGAAAATATATGAAGGAATGACCCAATTTTCAATTTTATAGCTCACTTCCATCATACCGGTTCTATTTGATATTGATATCGATGAATCTTAGATTAAGGTCATGGAGAAGCGAGCTCGATTGTTCAGCTCTGAACTTTACAGTCTGTACTTATAATAAATGAAAACTTTTCAATTATTCGATAATTCAAGGCATCAAACTCTCGAATGAAAGTAAGAGAAAAAAAGTATCATCTCCGATGTAATGCTCAGCAGCTCTCATTCAGTTACATCGTTTCTTTTACAAAAAATCATTCTTTGAACAATTCAGCCAGCTTACAATAATAATCCTCTGGGAAAATCTTGAGGTCGTCGGCAAATATCGATAACGATAAACGATCGAATCTTTGAATTCATTGAATTTTATAGTTAAACGATTATAGCTACTTAGCAGTACAGTAGCCCTTAATTTTGCACGCACAAGGTTTATGGCCTGAAAAAAAGTTAATAAAAATTAAACAATTGTGGAATATAATTATAAATCGATAATTAGGAGTAACGTAGCCGTACAGAAAAAAACGAAGACTAGACAGCACAAAGTCTATCCTGAAGTTGTCACCTTGAATTTATCGAACGCCAGTAGACGAGGCAATGGCAGAGTTTCAGGCAAATTTGCTACTAAGAGAACTAAAAGAGTGAGAATGGAAGTGCTTTCACTGGAGGCGATTTTGTAAAGACGCCTGTAACAATTTGTAGTAGGAAAAGTATAGAAGACGAACAAGTACCGAAATAGCTTTCAAGAGAGTTGTGACTTTCGTTCGGTTCTCTTTTTTTTCAATTTTTTTTGTCTACATAATACCAAGTACAATAGCCCTGGTAGAAATGCAACATTTTTTGACCAATAGTGTAACGCTTTTTCTCATATAAAATGGCCATTTAATGGCCATTCATGGCAATTGTCCATTAAATGGCCATTTTATATGAGAAAAAGCGTTACACTATTGGTCAAAAAATGTTGCATTTCTACCAGGGAGTGTGGAGTTTAAAATACACATTTTTTTTTGTTATACATATGATGTGTTCATTGAACTCAGTTTTTTCATCAACAACTATGTTCAAGTTAAAATTAATGATCAACTTTGTAGAAATAGGAAGTAAATATCTTGTGCAAAGCTTAATTTTTTTTTAGTGTTTAAATTATTAACTTTCAGTAAAATGTTATCATTTAATAAATAATCTTAATAAAATTGAACATAAAAAAGCTGAATACAGTTTTCATTTGTATAATATAAGCGATCAAATAAAATGCAAAAAAGAGCCCGCCCGAACAGGGACTTGAACCCTGGACCCTCAGATTAAAAGTCTGATGCTCTACCGACTGAGCTATCCGGGCTCGATGATTACTAATCTGGTATTGAGAATCACACGGGCATAACACTTAGCAGTCATTCCTACAATGAGAAAAGTGCGCAATGGACATCTACGCAACTAGCATAACTATACCTATATGAGCATGTGATTTAATGATTCTTCGGCATTAAAAAGTATCAAGAAGTGCCTTCGTTCTCCTTTTAGCAAACGACATGTGCTATGATTAAAATTAATTTTTATACAGAAAAAAAGTAAGTTATAATTATGAATGGTTTTATATTAATACATTAGTTGCTAAACAAAGAAATAAATATCATTGCTATTGATTTTTTAGGGCAACCAAAATTTCATATTTCTGCATCGTAATTTATTCATCAACTATTTGTAAAATTTATACTTCTTATTTAAAAACAGATTGTTAATTACATATCCATCTCGAATTTAAAATATTTTATCCATAAAAACTTTTATCGTCTTACTGTTACTGAGTCTAGCTGTTGACGTGATCATTTACTTGATCATTTACTTTTTTTTTAAAACTTTGAATTCGACGTCTTAAGTTTGTTTTGTCTCCTTATGAATTTTTTTATCTTTTTTCTACCAACCATCAACTATCTTCAACTGAAGTCGGTTAAGACAATAGGTAAATCATTATTTAGCACTACAATTTTTTGTATATAATTTAAAACTTTTATATTATTAAACGTGAATCTCGTGGAAGTATA